TTGAATGGCGATTATGTCAAAAAGTAATGTAATGTAGTTTTCTAATATGTATAATAAAAGTTCTGTACTGAGTCTCTGTCATTGATAACCAAATGGAGGTTTATTTCCAAATTGCCTCGTATATTAAGTATATTTATAAGTATATATGAATCCTGTTTGTAATGTAACTGAACAACTTTCTCTGCCTGTTGTAATAACTAGCTAGTACCTGTGTCTTTTTAAAATTAAAATTCTTTTAATAAAGTAATTTTATCTAGTTTTCCAAAGTGTAATATTTTGGCCTTATTTTCTAAAGCCTCTAATGCTGGTGCAATACATTGATGTTTCATTTTGTAATATTAGGGGTTAGGAGGAGATAATTTAAGAATACAATTGTAACTCACAAAGAGGATGTGCTAGGTTTTGCACAAGTGCTCATAATCTTTGGTTTGCTAAAGTAATAGTAATAAAATAACAGACTATTGTTCATTACTTTGAATTATAACTTTTTGTTAGCTCCATCATACTAGAAACTGAGATAACTGACATTAAGATATTAGCAGCAAAGTGAAATTTGCTTCAGAAACTCTAAATTTTCCTCAGGCTTTTATCAACCTGGCATTTTCATTTCCTGAGGATTGTGCCTGCCTAAATCTAGAGTTTTTCATGTTTTTTTTTAAATCAAATAAAAAATAATCTCCACAAAGAACTCACACATTACTGATCAACTCATTTTGGTATCTCATCTCTTAATCAACAATTATAGCTTAATTACAATCAAAATAATTAAATAAAAATACCTGGACAAATACACTAGCAAAAGGAGTAATTTTATGGATTAGAAATTGGGAGACTATCTTCTAGGTTGCACAGGAAGCCACTAACAATGACTTCACGAACACTGTAAACAAGAAGATGTTAAGAAATTGAAAGAGTTTGGTTAATCGTTTCAAAGAGAAACTTAGAAATCTAGTGTTGTAGTCCCGATCGGACTAAGAAATTTTATTAAAAAATAATAAAAAATAATAAATAATGAAAAAAGAAAAAAAGATTTTTCTTTATTATTTTTATTTTCTTTTATTTTTTACTTTGTTAAAATTTCTTCTATAAAAGTTATACAAAAAAGACATTTTATTAAAAGGCATAAGCTTTTATGAACCCAGCTCATTTTTTTCAGATGCATGGAGGGACATGACTGAAGTACAATTTAAATAGGGATGGAAGAGTAAAGAGACAGAAAGACAGGGTAGTTATATAATAAGACACATTACAAGTATTTTGTTATAAGCATTTTATGATAATGTGTTAAAAACCAATTGAGACCTGAGTTTCTCCCTCAACTTCATCGATAACATTTTTTTTTCAAATTACTTTGAGATCTGTGGTGGAATGTCCTGCTAATTAAGTAAACTAATTTCAAATTAAATCAAATCAAATTTGACTTTTTTTTGGTATGGGATACACATAGGAATATGGGTCCCATACCAACATGTTATCCAAAGACCAAGACTGCCCATCAACTCAAAATCATTGCCAAAACCCCTCAAAAAATATAACTTCAGTTTTTTTACAGAACTCTACAGAAAAGAAATAGGAAAGAATATATTTACTGGATATGTAATAGTTTGCAAAGGATTCAGATGCACTTTTTTAAAAATGTACTTACATTTGTACATTTGAATTTATGTATATGATAAAATGATTTATAATAATGCCATAGATATGCCAAACTGTAGCCAACTTTAGCTGATCCACAAAGTTACTATGTGAACTTCTCCATGGAGGCATTATTTTGATTTTATATCATTTTAAGCAAACAATAAACACATTTGTAAAAAAAACCCACCCTTTTTTTAAGGTTCTGCTTTTTTTCCTGGTTTTAGTGCAATATCTCAATTTTCAGAAATTTAGCAATACAACCTGCAAATCTAACTTCCCATGATTTAAGAAGTATAACTTGTCTAGATTCGGCAGAGGTAAAAAGTGTCAATTTATTTTTTGTTTGTTTGTTAGCTTGCTTGTTTTTCATATTTCTAAAGTACCCGTATCTCCCTCAATGAGGGGTTCTGGGAAGAGTACAATATAAAATAATTGATAAATAAAAAACATATAAAATTATATTGTTATCATATACTTTACTGCATTTGTTATGTGCAAGTGAAGAGGCAAACATCGGTAATCAATCCATTTCCAAATAGTTCAGTTTTGGGAGTTGATTTATTAGGCACAAATTCCAGGATGATCTTCACTCTAAAGATTTTGATTTTGCCTATTGACATTGTGTTTTTACATTGAACATGGACTACAAACATCACTTATAACAACAGCAGGTGCACTTTCTAGGGCTCCCAATTAGCTACTTCTCACAAATGAATTAAAGGTCTAGAAAGGAATGATCAAATCATTCATACATATATACATTTCATGTTTTCCTAGATTGCCAATAAGAGTAGTTCTCTGTTTAAGTTTTAAACATGAGCTCTGAAAACAGAACAAGCATGATAAAAATCTTCATTAGCAATATTATTGACAAGCCTAGCAAAAATCATAATAAAAGTAAAAATAAAAAAAAGGGGACCTAAAAACACATGGTGAAACTTTAGAATTCTGCACTTGCAAGTGACTTTAAAGAAATTATGTCACTTCTGATCAAATAAGACCAAATAAACTATATAAGGGAAAACAATTCTTCACCTGATATAAAAATCTCTTTAACATTGTTAGTTGGGTAACAAATTGACTTGTGCAGTGTGAAGTATAGATATTATGCATAACAATCCAGTGTTTTTAGACCTAGTATAGTCTCTATAAGAATATAATTCTGTTTTAAATCCTCTTCCTTCCTGCATCTTTAGTGCCCCTTTTTCTTCTCATCGTCGCCTTACATTATTGTCAACTAGTTTCAAGTGTCTTAAGAGAAGCACTGGCTTTTTTGTTTTTGCTTATTCTTTTACCCTGCTAACACTGAATGAGTGAATGAACTAGATCAGAGGTCCCCAACCTTTTGGGCACCAGGGACCAGTTCCATGGAGAGAGGTTTTTCCGCAAACCGGAGGGGGCGTGGTTTTGTGTGCTGCCTGCATCCTGCGGATAGGGCTTTGTTTGTTTGTGCAGCCCAGTTGCTGGCATGCCGCGGCCCAGTACGGTCCACGGACCGGGGGTTGGGGGCCCCTGAACTAGATGACTACAGGAAGTCTATACATAGGACATGAGTAGACCATCATTTTCACACTGATACTGAAGGCCATATACAGTTATTCTTTGATTTGCTAATGTTATGCTTCATTCATTTCTCCAATTACCATATAGAAGTGAATTTAATTCTTTATGTACTGTATGAATGTGTATTTCACTAAGCAGTCGAGCATCATATAAATTTAATAAATCATTAACATCATTTGTTCCAGAATTTTTCACTGTTCAATTTAATTGGGAGACCCTGGATTCTAGTAGCATGAGGAAGAAAAATGTTTCCTTTTCTACTTTATATGTATGTGTGGAACCACATTTGTTAAATACTTATTCTGCCATTGAGAGTCTTTTTGCAATTCTTTGCTACCTTTTTCCTTTTAACTTTTTAAATAATTTGGTGTTGTCTATAACCTTAACCATTTTATAAACTTCTAGGTTAATTCTTTGGGAAGAATATTTTAACACTACTATGTTTATTTTATTTTAATTATTTTTCCTATATACAGAACAAAAGTATTTAAAAAGTAGCAGTGATGAAACCTGATGTATTCCATTCTATATGAGTGGAGGGAGGGAGGTTCCACACTTATGTCAACCAAGAAATGTTGTTTTAACAAATCTATTAGTTTTCGGTGATGGGCAAATGGTGAAGGCCGTTTTTCCAAGTGACATTCCTTCCTTGAGAAAACAATCCCCTTTCTGCTTCCTTGCATAATATGCTAATGCAAAAAATAAAGATAAAAATTATTTGACACAATATTACGTACGGCATGTCTATGCATATCAATTCAAAAATTTTGCAACCCAGGCTGCTGTTTTTATCATACTAGTAAATGTTAAATAACCATTTTGGATATATTTTGGATATATGTTCAAGTAAACCATATTTAATTTCTATAAATTTAAACTGTCATCCAATAAATATGAATTTAATCTTGGAATTTATATGCCACATATACAGTTGGGTTAAAAGTATTTCGGATCAACCTGATTGAGAACTGGATCTAGTGAATCTACTTCCCCATACAGTATTGGATTTGTAACACTTTTATTTTGAACAAACAATGTCGTGCAATAAAAAGCATGCATTTATTACAGGTGAGGATAATACAACGGCTATTATTTATATGATATTCTAGTTTCATTTCGCATGGCCTGGGATAAAGAAATCATTTTTTAAAAAAACCCAGAGACTGTACACGGGATCAAGAGGGTCTTTCCTGGGATAGGCTACGCTGCCACTTTACCTCGTCTTAGATCTACGTCCTGGTATAAAAATGCAGGCGCACGTCACAGCTGATATTATTTTCTTTCCTCACCGTTTTCTCTCCGACAGATGTTCGGAGATTATAAAATAAGCGCCCTCCACAACCAATCAAGCTCAAATTGTGTTCCTGGCTTTCTGTCAGCCACGATGAGTTCATCCGACCAGAGGGGGCTCGGGAGGAGGGAGGCGACGCCGTGCGCAGCCTTTCCTCCCCTCTCTGCGTGTCGGCGGGCATAGATCTGCTTCGGTCTCGACTGCTTTGCCCGGTGCTTTGCTGCCGGCTAGGGTCGCCCGCCCGCGGGTTTTTCTCGGGTAAAGGAGAAGAGGGCCTTCCCCCCCCCTTTACGCGCTGCTTTCCGATTGGCGCAGCCGCTAGCCTGCCTGACACCAGCTTGCGACTCCCGCGTTCCTCGGCTTCCTCTGCTCGCTCCACCTCCTTTCTCCCGGCTCGCTCCACCCCGGCTCTCTGTCGTCGTCGTCCTCCGCCCCCCGCCCGGCAGCTTCGGCAATAGCAGCAGCAGCTGTCTGCGCCGCTAGTCCGCCGTCCTCCCAGCCGCCCGCCATGGCTCGCGCGGGGGCCTCCTCCTCCTCCCCGCCACCGCCGCCACAACCTCCCTTGCCACTCACTCGGGAGGCGGCCGAGGAGGAGGAGGAGGAGGAGGAAGAGGAGGAGGAGGAAGACGACGACGACGACGAAGAAGAAGACGGAGAGGAGGAGGAGGAGGAGGAGGAAGATCCCCCAGCCCGGGCTCTCATGCCACGCTCCTCCCCGGTCCCCAGGCCTCAGCACCCCAGCGCCCCAGAGAGCTGCTCTTCGTCAGAGGACGACGGGGAGGATGATGGGCACCACCAGCACCCTTGCTTGGCCAGGCCACTCTCTCAGCATCCCCCAGGCCTGCCTGGGCCACCTTCCCAGCATGCAGTGCAGGACTGCCGAGGGCTCCCCTCCCAGCATGCTCAAGGGCACCCTGGACTGTTTTCCCAACATGCCACTGCAGCTGCCATCCCTATGGAGGAGCCCTCTCAGCACACCGCAGGCCGGCATGTGCTGTTTGCTGATGCCTTGGGCTTGCCCTTGGCACGTTGGCGGCGCTACCAGCCTTGGCCCCCACCTTCCCCAGAGTCTCCCCCTGAGGTGGCACCTTCCTTGGCCTCCCTCCCTCCCTCCACAAGCACCCCCTACCTTTTGCCATCTTTTGTGTTGCAACCAGTGGGGCAAGATGAGGATGAGAAGCTTGAACGGCTGCACCAGGCCAAGGTAGAATTGGAAGAAGTTTTGCCACAAGAGCCTGGAGAGCCACGAGTGCTTCGTGGTACTGTGCGTGTGCTCAACATTTCTTACCACAAGGCTGTGCATGTGCGGGCCAGCAGAGACCGGTGGCAAAGTCACCGGGATTACCCCGCCCTCTATATTCCAGGGGGCTCACCAGATGGAGGCCTGACTGACAGGTTTGCCTTCCGCCTGGAGTTTGGCGATGAGGATGAGGAAGATGAGGAAGAAGGAGGAGCCCGGCTTGATTTTGTGGTGCGCTATCAGACCGAAGAAGGAGTTTACTGGGCCAATAATCAGGGCAAGAATTATAGTGTGGTACTGAAGGGGGCAGCGACTACCCAAGTTCTACCCACGAGGTCTTCTAAAGAAGGTGAATCACGGCGGCTCAAGAGCTGTATGAGGCCAGTCAAAATCAGGTAATGCTTTCAGTGCCCTTCATATACTTGAAGAAAGTGCATCTCTTGAGTTTTCAGTTCCATTCTTGTAATCTAACTTTCTTCAATGCAGTGCCCTCCAGAACAATTGGCCTACAACTCCCATCAACCCCAAAGATGTAGTGAGCTGTAGTTCTACTCCAAGACCTGAGTATCTTTGCTTTTCTACTCCATTCCCATAGAATTTATATCTAGGGCTTTCTTTTTTTACCTAATATTATGTTATCAGTTAATCTATGTCTCTTTTTCAGGTACCTTGAACCTTTCATAGGCTAACAACACAAATGGACAAGAAAAAAGTGTTATTTAATTTAGTAACTAAAGAGAAGTCTGTTTCAAATTCTTGCCCATTTTCTAGATTCTGTTTCCTTCAGTTATGCAAATGACACTCATGAGTTGTACTCTGATGTGATAGAAACCAGCATTCCAAAGAAATCTAGTTTACTATGAAGGAAAAAGAGTGCTGATGCATGCTGCTTAATCCCTCTTCCTTGAGTCCTCCTGCTAGTGGGAGTGCCTGAACAGTGATTTTTTTGGTGATGTATGAATAACCCTTGGGATATGTCTCTGTAATTGAGCTGAAGTCAGGAATCAGCAATTATGGAACAGCAATAAATAAGGAGAAATATCTGGATTTAAGGTATTTGTTAGTAAAAAGTTAAAAGTGGCTTAATGAAAAGACACATATTCACCATAAGACAGAATTCTTGGAACTTTTTATTTTACCCTGATATATAAACATTCTGATAATGTGAGATGGGTATCAGTAAAGATAATGGAATCAGCACAGAAGGTGTGAGATTCATCCTGTCCCATTTCAATTAATCCTCAAGATATTTTCATACATGATCCAGAAAGCATCATTTTGCTAATTATAGAAAGTGTGAAGATTTAAAAAGAGAAAGTTGAAGAGGACCATTTTAAGGCAAATGCATACTGTAGTAATTTGTATTCAGATTATAAAAAAAAAATGTTTTATGGGAGGTTCCCTACCTTTATGTATGCAGTAAAGCCGACTGCTGCACATGCAGCACTGTTTCCAGCAACAAATGTATCAACATGGATTGCTTAAAAAATATGCACATACAGTAATTCTCATGATCGTTTCTTTAATGATTGTCAAAGTTGCAATGGTGCTGAAAACAGTGAGTTACAACTGATCCTCGTACTTATGGCTGGTGCAATGACTACACAGGCACATGTTCAAAATTCAGGTGCTTGGCAACCAGCATGTATTTACGTCTGTTACAGTCTCCCAAGTCATATGATCATCATTTGTAACCTTAGCTGGTCTCCAACAACCAAAGTCAGTGGGGGAAGCCAGATTTGCTTAACAACTGTGGGATTTGCTTAATGAATACAGCAAAAAAGGTCGTCAAATTGGGCACGACTTACTTAATGATTATATCACTAAGTTCTCGTCCCAAATGTGACCATAAGTCGAGGACTACCTGTATGCATCTTGTGCTCTGATTGGTTCTGGTTTCTTAGAATAATTTTTTATTTCAGAGGAAAATCTATATAGGGACTGTACCAATTCATTGTCATGGCAGGGGTTTATATGAACTACCACCATTTTATAGCTTCCTGTCTACATCTTGTATGCTTACTGATAGCCCCAGATTTTCTGACTGACACAATCTTGCTCACTTTACCTAATGAACTATGCAGGAGTTTTTGATGTGTCATTAAGAATACTGAATCGTCAATTTCTGAGTACCTTATTTTGATCAAACAGCATATTTTCTCACTATAGGAAATATTTTTTTATTATGGTGCAAGAAATATTGGTGTGTACACAGCAAGTGAGTTTGTTCCTTTCAGTGCCATTTGTGAAAACAGTCCTCTCTAGACCAGAACTGAGAACCAACATAAGCACAACTCCTTTTCTATGTACTATAATAAAGAAGATTGTCACCAACAAGTGATAATCACCAGTGGTGTATATTTTATAAGCATAGCATTCCATAGCTTTTCCCATCTAACTGATTCTGCAGTAGCCTTTTTTTCCTGGGATTGCCTTACTTTGTTCACAGACATATCTTGGGAAAAAATGTGAAAAATCATTAAAATTTGGTAGCCTAGTATTTTTTTGTTCTCAGGTATAGTTTAACACTGTTATGGATACTTGAATCTACACATGGGAGGAGAAATACACTGTTTTTTAGCATCAGCCTGGCCATGGTAGACAAAACACTACTGAAACTTTTAATCCTTCTTTGCATTTAATTAAAGATTTCCTGTTTGCTGGTTTTGTCCATATTTGTGTTTTTGTTGATTGTGACAGGATTATCTCTTCAACCCATAGTCATTGTCATCAGCCATTTAGTCATGTCCGATTCTTGGCCACTCTATGGATCAGCGCTCTCCATGCCCCTCTGTCTCGCACCGCTTCCTTCACATCCGCCATGGTCATCCCAGTGTCATCTTTTATAATGTCCAGCCAGCGGGTGCTAGGGCGGCCCCTTCTCCTTTTTCTATTGATTACTCTCAGCACGATTGACTTTTCGACTGAATCAGCTCTTATAACATGACCAAAGTATGACAGCTTCTATTTGGTGATCTTGGCTTCAAGTGATATTTTTAGTGAGGTTCTGTCTAGGACAGGGGTGTCAAACTCAATTTCATTGAGGGCCGCATCAGCATTGCGGTTGCCCTCGGGGGGCCGAGTGGGTGTGGCCAGGGTGGGTACAGCCTACTGGTGGCCGTGGATGGAGTGGGTGTGGCCTACTGGGTGGGCGTGGCCAGCTCTACATTGTTTGCATCAACGGTACCTGTGGGGGCCTGGGCAGGAGTAGGACAGATCTGAGGGTCTCTGGCAGAAGGGGGTGGAACCGGGGCAAGCACCAAGGCATGGTCCATTTCTTCATTCCTCACAAAGGGTGACACCTCCCCAGCATGCACCCAGGGGGTGGGGCCGATGCGGCAGGGTTCCTCGCTATTTCCAGACGGCCTTGTGGAGCTAAGACTGAATGCGTTTCAGCATAGATGGCCACCACAAAATTGTACATTGGCTCCCGGCCGGCCTGGGCCAGGGCCAAGGCAGCAGGGGCCGTTCCCTCACTGTTTCCAGGATGGCTTCACGGGCCACATGAAACCACTTCGCGGGCCACATCCGGCCCCCGGGCTTTGTGTTTGACATGTCTGGTCTAGGACTTTATTTTTGCAGTTCATGGGCTGTGTAATAGTCACTTCCAGCACCACACTTCAAATGCATCCTTTTTTCTATCTGCCTTTTTTTAGAGTTCAAGTTTTGCAGCCATAAGTAGTACCGTATATACTCGAGTATAAGCCGAGGTTTTCAGCCCATTTTGGGGGCTGAAAAATGCCCCCCTAGGCTTATGCTCGAGTCAATATTTTTCCCCAGTTCTTTGTGGACTTACAATATCCGAGCACCGTTTAAAGAGACACCGAAGGAAGACGGTGCCCAACTGCGCGCCTTTCCCCCTTGGCGGGGTGGTCTTTTGCAGTCTTTTGCTCGGATATTGTAAGTCCACAGCAGCGCGGGCGGCAGCAGCAGCAGCGCCGCAGGGAACGGAAGGGAAGGGGGGAGGGCCGTACCTGGAGCATCACAGGCTGGGAACGAGCTGGGCGGCGGCGGTGTCGGTGGCAGGAACATGCCGGGAACGAGCTGGGTGGCCGCGGCCGCGGCGGCAATGAGCTGGG